TACTTTATTATTTATCTTTCTTTTCTTTTTATTATTTCATATATTAAATTATTATTCATTCATTTATTATTTATATTTCATTTATTAAATAAAATGAAAATGAAATTGTAAAATATCAATTAAATATTCATGAATAATAATTTATTAATATTTAATAATTGAAATAACAAATAATAAAGTAACAATAATGATATATTCAATATATTCTTTATTTGATTTGTTCAATATTAGATTATTCTATTTCATTATCATTTCATTGTCTTCATTATTTTATTTCATTATTTCATATTCATTTATTATTTTTTAAAATCAAATAAACAATAATATTGATATTCATTCATCATATTCATTTAATATAATAAATATACACAACATTTCAGAATAAAGAATGAATAATTAAGAATGAAAATATTGATTTATTCAATATTTTGTTCAACATAAAATCAATAAAACATATATTTTGATAATACACAAATGAAATAATAAAGAAATATACAATACTCAAGAATTAATAAAAAAGAAATAAAAAGAATAAATGAATATAAAATTGATAAATAATAGAAGAAAGAAATAGAAAAACAACGAAAAACAAATAATATAAAAAGAATAAAAATATATAAAAGAATAAAAATAAAGTAGAAGAAGAATATAAAAATAATAAATCACAAAGAGATGATAAAAGAAGAAAAGAATGAAAATGGTGTATTTTTAATGTAAAAATTAGAAATATTCAATAATAAGTGTCTAATTTAATGATGTAAAATGATTAACAATATTTTATTGATGAAAAATATTGTATTATTTTTTATATTTATTATTTATATGTATAATTTAAACATGATGTTTATTATATAATCAATCATATGTGTTATGTTATTATAATATATAATAAGTGATAAAATATTAATGAAAATGATATGAATATATGATATAGAATATAAAAACAAAAGAATAATAAGAATAAATTATAAATAAAAGGAGAAATGATAGTCAATGATATAATAATAAAATCAAAATATAAAAGATAAATTTAATATTAATATAAATCAAAAGAGAATAAATATAAAATGAAAATAGATATAAATGATAAGAATATAAAATATGAATAAGATGAATAAACAAATAATAAAATACATCTAAATAGAAAAGAATAACAATAAGAAAATCTAAATAATATAAACATAAAAATAATAAAATAAGAAGAATATAATAATATAATAATATATAGATAATAAGAAGATGATAGATAAATAATATAAACAGAGAAATAAATATAAAAATACGATAGATAAATAACATATAAATAAAAGAATAAAAATAATAAAAATAAATATGATTCATCAAATCATCTATTTCATTAATATTTCATACAAAATGAATACAATTGATAATAAAATATAAAAATAAATATATACAGATTGTATATTTATCATATTTTTTATTTTTTTATTTTAGGAGCAAAATATAATAAAGTTGAATATTCTATGGATACAAATTATTTTGCATCTTTTTTCTTTTTTGTAAAATATTTAGATGCATTTTTTCTTTGCTAATTTTCGTACCCAAATATTTCTATTATATTTCAATAAATCATTCCTCTACTTCTTCTATTACTTTCTTCTTTGTCTCACTCTCTACAATATTCTCATCTTCATAACTCTCATCTCCATATTTTCTTTCTCATAATCTTTCTCATCCTGTTCTTTATCTTCTCTTCTTCCTTGGTTTGCGACTCTTTGGATTTCTGATTCAATGTTTGCTTTCTTCTTTCTCTTTAATTACTCGTATTCTTCATGTTTCTTCCTCTTCAGTCTTTCTGGATTATGAAGATTAATCTCTTTCTCACTTGGTAATTGGATGTACTTCTGAATCTCATAGATATATCTATGATTTTCATTTAACTCATTCTGAATCAATTCATTCATATTGACTGTGTCACACTCATTTAACTCATTGACTGGAACGATTGAATCAAACAAATACTTGTACTCTCCTCTCACTTCATTTTGTGTGAATATCGGTCTTTCTTCTTCTATACATTCCTCTTTTTGTTCTAGATAAATGACAACATTTTGTTCAATAAACTTCAAAATATCACTGAAATGTCTCTGGAAATTGATGTAATCTTCTTTGTTGATTATGATGATTTGAATCAATGGGAAGATGTATTTATACAAATACTTGATATCAACACTCGAGATGTTTCTATTCATCAATGCTTTCAACTCGGTACTTTTCACTTCACTCAATTTAATATCATCCATGATTTTGAAATTTTTATGTGGTTGATTTGACATTTTATTGTATTCAAGGTTGTTTGAATGATGAATGTAATATTCATCAGGAATACTAAACTTTGTGAAGAAGACACTCTTTCCTATCTAAGTACTTCACACACAGATGAATGTCTTAAATCGATCCACTCCTCTTTTGTATATATTCTTCAAAAAGTCTGTAAATGACATGTACAATGGATGTCTTCATTTGGTAAATACAACTTCACTGTCTTTGTAATCAATGCCTTTGTTATGTAGTTGTACATATTAGTTTTCCATGTCATTCGTAATTGATTGATTGTGTATGTCTCAAATCTACTTCTTGTTGCTCTACTCTCAAATGTATCTTGATCAGCTGACTCTAGAATATATTTTCTACTCTCATTTATTCTTTGGATAAAGTAGAATCCTTTTATATACTCTGCCTTCTCCATCATTACAATCTTAATCACCTCATTTTGTGTTTCTATATACTCATTTATTGTTCTAAACTTTTCATTTTCTGGAATTCTTTTTCCATAACTAATTATTATTGAAACACTCAGATAATGCAACGAGATTATATAAATGTTGGTGTGTTTGTCTACATAATTCTTGATTATCTCAATAGTGTTTCTCTCAAAATATCTTCATCGTATTTCTCAATATATTCAGAAACTACTGCACTTTGTTTATCTTGATCATCTACAACATACATAATGACACTCCACATGACTAATTCTATTTAATTATTCAATTCTTCTTGTTGAGTTAATCTAATTTTTCATTCCAATATGCATTTATTGAAACATATTGTTCGTAAACAAAAGCATGATTGTACTTTTGTCAATAATAATAACACTTCTACTACTACTAATAACACTTCTACTATTAATACAAGTGTTAAACAAACTAAGCCTAGAAAGATTTCCGATGAGATTAATAAGAAATATTCATCTCTGTTGAAGAAGTTATTTGAGAAGGAAAATACATTAGATAAGTACAAACTAAGTACAGAAGTAAAGGCACTTCTGAACATTAGAATCCATCTATGGCTAGAGTATTACACAATCAACAAAGCAATCAGCACTAGTCATGACAATGATTTGAAAACTAACTCGAATACTAATGATTTCGAATATATTGATAGTTTTTCAGAAATAAACAGTTTTTATAAATAATCTCATATTTTAAAATATGTTTGGATTTTGGAGTAAAGAGAAAGATAAATCGAAGAACTAGTGAATATCATCACACAAAATACAGACAAATTAGATGATATTCTCACTAGTACAATAACAAAAGTTGTTAAATTTAATGACACCAAATTGACTAATTATTCTAGAATTGAAATGATAGATTTCATTGAACATACATATGTGAATAAGATCAACATGTCTTAAAATCAATTTTACTAAATATGTTGAGAAGATTTAATCAGTCATATTCTCATACATTCATACACCTTTAATCAACAAATTAATAAAACATATTAACCAATCTACACTTCAAATAATAATCAATTCATTAAGACATTCATATAAATTTACAATCATCTTATTTAATATATTATCAAGTAATTCTAAAATGAATTTAACTGATATCGACATTTCTCAATTAACTAATGTCAATCTGTTATAGAAAGAATATCAATGTACCACCCAGTGAAATATATCTCTATGAAAAGATTTTCTTCTTGGTGCTGTTCTTTTGAATTATTTGTCGCTCTCTCTTAAAAGTTAAGATTTATTGATTTTAGAATATATAATATTCATGTTTTATTTTTTAAACAAAGAATTTATCTGAAAATAAAATAAAAAATAAATAAAACATATTAATATTAATATTTGTTCAATGTTTTTCTTTATTATTTTGACTATTATTAACATTGAATGAATATTTCTCGTTGATATTGTTGATACACAATACATTGCATCCATTTCTATGAATGAAGATATTTCATATAAATACTTTAAATTTGTTAACATTGAATATCAAACAGATTATTTCGTCTTAATAGTTGTATTGATTTTATTGATTATGCTGCTTATTTTTAGAATATTATATTCATTATTATTTATTCATTATCGTTTATTCATGTTATTTTGTTATTTTATTCTATTAATATTTCATTCTAATATTGATTTACGTATTTAAAATTTATTATTTTTGTTATTTTATATTGTTTCTATCAATTGAAATTATTATGTTAAAATATTCTTTATTTCTTCTTTATTCTCTCATTTTATTTCTTCTTTATTCACATTTCATTCTTTATAAAAATAAAATGATAAAAATTCTAATTAATAAAATATTAATGTGAATAAATGAGAATCAGTCATTATTTAAATATATTATCATCATTGTATAATTTATTATTAATAAATATTTTCATTATTATCATTCAATTTATTCATCAATTTTTGACAATGTTAATGTAAATAATATTCAATTACAATATAAAAATTAATTTATTTGATTCAAATGTTAGAAATTCATAATCAAATAACAGTTGATTTAATCTCATTATTCAATATAATATTGAATATAATTAATAGAATAAATGAATAGCTATCATTAAAGAAAAAATGAACAAAATAAGAAAAAACATTCATAAATGAAAATAGTTGAAAAATTCAAGATAAAATGAAATTAATAATAAACATAAAATGAATAACATAAGAAAAGTAAATAATAAAAAGAAAAGAATAAGAATACACTAATTTGAAATAAATTAAGAATAATTAATGAATAATTTTAAAGATTACTAAAGAATAAAAAAGAAAAATGATGAGATTAAATCATAAATATGATAAGTTCAAATCATTAAACATAATATAAAAAGAAGAATAAGAAAGTAAATAAAGAAATAAAAGAAATAGAAAGACAATACAAATAAAGAATGATAAAAAGAAGATTTGAAAATATAATAGTGAAATATTTTAAATTAAGAAATAAAGAAAAAGAAATAAAGAAAAAGAAAAGGGATATATAACAATAAAAAATCCAAAAATAAAAGAGAAGGAAAATAAAATCAAATAAACAAGAAGCGGCTGTAGTTTTACGTGTAAAACACTTATTTGTAATTTAATAAATATGAAGTACTAAGTTAAATTAATAAGAGTCGTAGGATCGAAACCTGCCAGTCGCCAACATTTTTTTAAATTAATGAAAAAAAGATATTAATTACAATAAAAATATTATCATTTTCATTTATTAAATAAAATTGAAATATATATTTAATTTCTATTTCATTGTTTTTATTCTTTAACTTGTATTTGTTTATTTTGTTCATATTGTATTGATATCTATTTATTCTCTTATATTCTCTACATATTATTTCATCAATTCTTTCATAGTA